GTTATTACAACGCCTCTCTCGAAGAAATACCAGCGAGCGATCCTGTTCCAGACAGGCCAACAGGTGGTCAGTCTTTTCGCCCAGTGAGCCTCCGGTGCATGCGGCAGCCCTGTCATGTTTCACCAGGCAGTTCGTTCAGATGTCCTCTAAGCCTGGGCGGGTCCACATGTTCTCGATCTCCGCTGATCCCGAGGACGGAGGCGCGGCAGCCTCAAAGCCGGCGGCTGTCCTGTTGCACGACACCGCCTGAGCACGCCACACGTTCCAGGTCTCCGCGGCCGGCGCTGACTCCCGCTCGCCTCGGAGCACGTCCGAGCTGCGTACCCGGGCGCCACGCAGCCCTGACGCAGCCGCCGAACTGCCCGCCGCGCCCGCGCGTTACCGTCCGGCGACGGGCGTCACGCGCACGCCCCGCGTGACGGTGTGACGTCACGCGACTGGGCGGGCCGAGGCGCCGACACCCGAGCCGCGCGCCACTCGACAATTACCAATTACTTCCCGTGTGAGCGGCCGCGCACCGTCATTTCCCGCCACTTTCTCAATCGTCTGCTCGCGCCGGCGCGCGCGCGCGCGATTGGTCGGCACCGCGTGACGTCAGCCAGTGACACAGAAACGCCGACGGGACCCCGGCGTCGGCCACCACGGCTGGCTGTTTGTGTGCCGGACATGTGGGTCGGCCGCCGCGCATTCGCCGCGGCGACCGCGCCGTGTTGGCCGCGTGACGGCGTTTGCGGCAGGTGGCGCGTCCGATGACCGGTGCCCTCTTGGCGTCGACCCGGTCTGGCGCGCGCACGACGGGTCGTTTTTCAGGTGCGCCTGACCGCACGCTGACCGAGTGCCGGCGCTGTCAACAGAGGCGCCGCCGGACACGACTGTAGAAGGCCCGCACCTTCAGGGGGCCCGCACCTTCAGGGCGCCGGCGCCGTCAACAGAGGCGCCGCCGGACACGACTGTAGAGGGCCCGCACCTTCAGGGTGCCGGCGCCGTCAACAGAGGCGCCGCCGGACACGACTGTAGAGGGCCCGCACCTTCAGGGTGCCGGCGCCGTCTGCAGAGGCGCCGCCGAACACGACTGTAAAGGGCCCGCACCTTCAGAGAGGTGCGTGGTGGGAAGGTGACGCCTTTTCCATGGAATTCGCCAACGCATAACCGCACACACCTGTGAACTTGGAAAGATGCGCCTCGAAAAAGTTTGTTTTTATAGGTATTGTCCCCGTTGAACTGAAGAAAGGTAGCTCGTACCGTCTGATGCCCCTGCAGTAAAGCGTAGGTGGGCCCCGGCCAGCCCAGCTTGAGTCAAGTTTAGTGTTATCCCTATGACGATGCATGTGATTGATCAACCTTGTAATACTCTTGAAACGACTTTGGAACTTAAATCAACTGCTTCATCTTCTGGCCCAAACCCATTTGGGTCACTTTTAGATGAGGGGGGGGGGGGGGCAAACCCAACTCACCCAGTTCTAGGATTTGTTTGCTCTCTGACTATACCCAAGTTAAAGCGCTGTTAGCTTCTAGCTGTCACGTTCATCTTTCCTTGAATTCATGCGACGCGCGGTCGGCACCTCCGAAAAGCTCACGCATAGTTCACGCTGCTTACATGCTGACAGTCTACACGTGGGTCTCACCGCAACCTCCAGCCCCTTCCCCCCCCCCCCCCCCCGCTGCGGGATGCCAACAATGAACGGGACCAAGATCTCATCACCTTAATCCAGTTATCAGATCTAAAGAACATGAACACAGAGCTACTGAACACAATCGTGGACCACCAAACACGAACACAGGCCCGCCAAACACGAGCACAGACATATCAAACGCCGGCACAGAGCTTCAAAACACTGGTGAGAGCCAAAAAAACGTTACAATGCTACCGAATACGGGCGCAGGGCTAACAGAAGGCACAGGCTATCAAACTAGGGCATAGGCTATGCCACACGGGCACTGGCTTCCGAATAGTGCGCGGAATAATCGAAGAACGTGTGCGCAGACTACAGAGCACGGGAACAGGCTGCCGAAGATGGATACAAGCTACCGAACGTGAGCACAGGCTGGCAAACCACAGGCTGACAAACACGAGCACAGGCCACAGAGCACGAGCACAGGCTATAGAACACGGCACAGGCTGCTGAACACGGGCGGAAACTGGCAGCCTGTACCGTGTCGGCAGCTTAGTACACCGGGGCTATCAGACATGAGCACAAGCTATCCAACACGGGTACGGACTACCAAACATGAGCAGCGGCCCGGCGTGGCCAGTTTTTGCCCGTCCGAAGCGGGACCGATCTCGGACGGCGTTGACAGCTTCGGGGCAGGCTGACAGGCTGACAGGCTGACAGGCCGCCTGTGTGGCCCCAGACCGGCCGGGCGTCGAGGTCACGGCACGATCTCGCCCGGAGCAGCTGGGCGGAGCACTGAGACGCGTCAAGGTCAGGAGAACGGCGTGCAAATGGGCTAAGCGTTACGTTTCAGTGATGATGGGCTACTGTTCGAGACGTTTCGACGGGAAGAGCACGGAGAATGCGCACAGAGTGCGTGCGCCCTCAGTTCCCTAGAAACATTTCAACGGGAAAAGCACGGAGAATGCGCACAGAGAGCGTGTGCGCTCAGTTCCGTAGAGAGACATTTCAACGGGAAGAGCACAGATAATGCGCACAGAGTGCGTGCGCCCTCAGTTCTCTAGGGAGACATTTCAACGGGAAGAGCACGGAGAATGCGCACAGAGAGCGTGCGCCCTCAGTTCTATAGAGAGACATTTCAACGGAAAGAGCACGGAGAATGCGCGCAGAGAGCGTGCGCCCTCAGTTCTCTGGAGAGACATTTCAACGGGAAGAGCACGGAGAATGCGCACAAAGAGCGTGTGCGCTCTGTTCTCTAGATTGGTCATTAGCACTGCTATTACGGTCCTACTGATTTCGACATTAAATGCGTTGCAATGGCTACTCCTTGCCATGCTTTGGCAATCATACAGTGTCAGCGTTCGCAACTGAGCAAGGTATCATGTTTTAGGTCGCCCTTCTGGATTTAGGTCGAAAACGAATAAGCGGGGACAACCAAGCACGGTGTGTGGTCCTTGCGCGTGGTGTACCGTTGACAATGCACGCACAGCACGGTCATGCGGCGTGCCGCACAGAACCGTCCAGATGTCGCCAAGCCATGCACGAGGCCTTGCCGCCGCCGGGTGGCAAGAACCAACCAAGTGTGCAATAAATCCTGGGGAGTTCAACTGACATGTCGAACGGCAGTTGTTATTGACTCGGCGCAACACACGGCATCAATTACCGTCCGGCTGCGCGTGTCCGACAGTAACGGCACAATGGGGTCTTTGCCAGGGGTCACATCGATCACGCAAGCACGGACGTGCGCCACCATGACAATGGTCAGCATAAGTATGACGAGGTTGACAGTGTACAGGAAAAAGTCAGCAGGAAACTGCTTTAGAGGAGCTGACACTACTTCCAAAATGTCAGGTGAGCGCTGAAGATGGTTACAGAACCCACATTCCCTTGTACTATTAACTACTGATGTTCAGGTGATATTTGAGCTGCGAAGACAATGTCAGCACATAGTACAGGTGGATTCTGCAAACAACCAGAAGGTGTTTCTCTATCTGGTAGTCGCGAGAACAACGACAATTATCCGCAGTGAGCTGAGCGACTGACAACTCTGACCTGCCAGTACCTGATAAGGTGCACGAGAACCACGACCCCAGCCGCAGCCCACGTCTGCGACGCGGCGCTGAGCCCGTATGATAACTGCCTGTTAATACCGGGCCGCTTAAAGAGTGGCCTCATTCGGGGATACACGGAAATAGTCAGAATGGCATCACACGATAATATGGCAGCTCGATCTGGCTGCATCTCACCAGCTCCATTCAAGACGGATAGTCTCTGTCTGTGCCATGATATAGAGAAATGCGCATAGCCGTGCGACTGATATGCCATGCACTGATTGGCACTAGACTCCTCCACCTTTGTAGACCAAAGAAATCAAGCATCATCCCGAATTGCAGCGCCTCGGTAAACTCCATCCCTGGGCGCATGGACAGTCATGTTCTTTAAATGACGCCATGACTGGAGGTGTTCCACGCTTGGTACAAGTTAGGTAATGCCGAAGCTAGTGCCTTCTTGCGCGCGATACCAGTCCGTTTTTATGCAATACTGCAGCTGGAAGGCTCCAAATTAGCACAAGTTAAGTAATGCCGACGCTTGACACTTCAGCTGTTTGCGACTAGTCAGATTGCAGCCAAGATGTTCGCAAGCTGCTGCGGCATGACATGACATTCTCACTAGCCCAAACAGTTTGCAAACCCTACAGCCACCTGACCGCCATATTCAACATCACCGTGGCTTTGCGCATTTGATCCCTCCTGTGGAGAAAGAGGTTTGCTCAGCCGCTCTGCTGTACTTTACCGGCCAAGTACCAACTGGCGATTAGCCGGTAGCGAAAGCGTGAACTACTTAACTACGTCAGACCCTATTGGTCGGCGAGCACTATGACCGTCATGATACACCTGAGAAGCCACAGGAAATCCGAGACAACGCTGCTCTAGCTAGCGGCGGGCTAGCCGGCCACACTTCTGCACACCACGAGGGCGTGGGCCCCGGAGGGTGCCGCGAGTGGTTCCCTTCCGGCGCCCGCGCGCGGCGCCTGGGCCCCCAAGCGAGCCGCGCCCCGACTGGCTGACGCCATGCGGGCGGGTGACGCCGGGCCGGCCGCAGCGGGGCGCCAATCACGGCTCGCACTCTGCACGCACGCCCATCGACAGTGTGACCCGGCGCCGCCCGCTGGCGCCGCTTTTGCCGGCCGCGCTGCGCCGATCTCTCCCGGGGAGGTGGATCAGCAGCGCAGGTTTTGCGGCGATTGGAAAGTCGTCGGGATGAGGGCAGGCGGAGGGGCCGGTGCTCGCGGCACTGTTTTTGCGCCCGGCAGCCTGTTCTGCGCCAGGATGTGGCGCGTGCCGTCCGAGGTCAAGGTCAGGCCAGGGTGACAGGGTCATCACTCACCGACGCGGGTCTCGGTCCGGTCCCAGGCAGCCAGCGTGCACTCCAACTGCAACAGGGGAGACAGTCAGTATTGACCTGCGGTCAAGGGCACCTGGCCAGTTCTGTCTCAAAGAAACGCACACGGAGCTGGACATGGCGGGGTTGCAGTGCAGCTGTTCAATGCATAAAGGAGAACGGCATGCTATAGGGATTTAACGGCCTAAAAAATAACGAGCTGACGTTGTCATGAATGTGGTCATGATCATGGCAACTGATACACAGCTGTATAAATACTGTTGGGTGGACACCTCACGCGTACCAGAACGGCCTGTTAATGGCCAGATCTCCCGAGCTTCTGATGAAGCCAGCCATCCCGCAGAGCGAACCATATAAGAAGCAAGAGTCCGCCCACAAACCGTCTGATGAATATTTGGCCGGCGCCAAAGCCAGTGTGATTAAGGTCCGGTCATTTGTAACTTGCCCTTGGTACGACGCGGTATGTAATGCATGATAACTACGCCACGAACATCCCATAGACAATGACGCCAACGAGGTATCGCGCACAGTGAGGGACGAATTCTTCATCCAGGCTGCAGAACCTCCTACTTAAAGCATGACAGCTAAATGGAATATGCATGTAAATAGTACAATCTGACTGCAGATTACCTGTACCATTTCATACCAATCGAATGAGTATATTGCGAAAGAGATAAATGTGACAGGCGTTGCTGCTGATACGCTACGCGGCGACCTGCGTTCCTTCCACTGTGACGACTCCGATGTGCGAACGGTCCGGCGGCTCCCGCCTGGTGCCGACGGCCAATGAAAGCCAATTGAGGCCAACAGTCAATCAAAAGCAGCACAGCTGACGCGAACTGGCGCCGATGCGTTACACTGCTGCTCAAGTGCTCACGGGAACAGGCGGAAGGGGAGAGTGAGGGCATACCGCGTTACACTGCTGCTCGAGTGCTCACGGGAGCAGGCAGGGGGGGGGGGGAGTGAGGGCATACCGCGTTACGCCGTTGCTCAAGTGCTCACGGGAGCAGGCAGGAGGAGGAGAGTGAGGGCATACCGCGGTACGCCGCTGCTCAAGTGCTCACGGTTGCAGGCGGGAGGGAAGAGCGAGAACATAAGGCGTTTGTTTTCAGGCATAACGTGGGGTCTCAAGCCTTCACAGGTGCAAGTGGAAGAACACCAGAGAGCGATAGCGTAATGCAGAGAGGGAGGGGGGGGGGACACGAGCGCACGCAAAGGAGCGCAGGCGTGAGCAAAGCGGATGAGAACAGGCACATAGGAAACGCGGGCACACTGATGCACTCGGGAACAACTAAAAGGCACTCGAACGCAAAAGCGCGCGGACGAGCACAAGCCATGCACACGGGTGTACAGAAGCCCCAGCAGCCGAGCTCACCTGTGCACGAGTGCACACAGGCGCGCAGCATGCAGAAAGGCACAATGCGAATTCTCGCGTGCAGGGACCTGCAGACTCGCACGGGTGCATCATGCCGTTCCACACACATTCTCCCACAGGAGAAGTGTACAGTCGCAGGAGACGTACATCGCGCGTGGAAGCGGCTGGTATGGCGACGCATGAGGGCCCAGGCACGGAAGTGAGCAGAGAACGGCAGCACTAAAGATAGCTGCAATTCGGCGAAAGGAGTGTCCAGCCTGGGCTTCTTGTTAACACAAAACAAATGTCCACTACTGAAGCAAAACTGAACTCGTGGGGAGGCAGGTGCGCTGAGCTGTTCGGACAAACCACAGCAGAACAGAGACTGGGACACGACCACACCGGCCGCAGCCGCAGCACCCACACAGACCGACAAACAGCTGCCGAACGACGCTGGAACCGCGATAATGGAGAGAAAACTGAACGTTGCGGGCAGTAAGCTGGGTCGGACAGTCGTTGCCATTCACTAGTTATATGTTTCACTGATATTGAGATTCACGGTTCAGGCGCACAAAGCAGGAAGCTGTCAGCGACGCTTAGCGCGGTCGTTAATTATTACGCCTGGTAGACGCGATGACTTGCCCAGCTGCGATTAGATCATGGAAACATAGTCGTGTACAATTTTCACAAGGGCTCTGATGCACATGCTCATTTCTCCTGGCTTCGTGAGCAATGCCTGGAACGACTGTAAAACCTTGTCACTGTATGACGCTTTTGTCTTTCCTCTGATTCTTTAATTACGTTTGGTATCATTTAAGGGCATCGCCAGTAATCAGGGATGTAGTACCGGATTTTGGGTTTTTGTGGGGGGACAGAATTTTTTAAATGGGCTCCTTACAGATGAGTCTACTGGACAGCGCAGTGTAAGAGGAAGGGGTAACAAGGCATAAAGTACTCTTGAAAACAGTTCTTTACCTCATATTCAAGTCAAATCATAGTAAAAATTGAAAGTAAAAACAGAATGGGGGCCTTCCAATTATTCATCAATGGATCTCGGTGACCTAAAACAGGGCCTCCTGATTCAAAGAGGCCCTCCTAATCAGAACAGGATCCTTCCGATTCACGCAAGAGGCCTCCAGATCTAGCCAAGGGCCTCGTTATCGCTAAACGGGACATTCTGATTCGGAACTGTGGCCATGTGAAGCATGGAAGGGGCCACCTGCGCCATTAATGGTGTCTCCTGAATATAGGGAGTGTCTCTTAACCAAGAACAGGACCCCCTTCTTTTTAATGGAGGCCTCCCGAGCCAGCGAAAGGACATCTTCAACACAACAATGTGACTTTTAATCTACAGCTCAAACTACTTTATTCGTAAGGCGGCCTTATGGTCCAGATAGCGGGCCTCTTGATGTAGAAAGTCTTCTGAGACAATTATTACTCTCTACCTCAGTTATGGGCCTATTTGACCTGAATTTTGGTTATCTACGAGTAGCTACAGCGTCTTAAGCTTGTGGAAAGGGGCCTACCAAAAATGGGGGGGGGGGCAAACACATATCTTTGTCCCTCAGCCTGCCGGCAGGCGGAGGAGGCGGGGGGTAACCGGCCCTTTGCCTCCCCACTGCTGCGCCGTCCTGCCAGTGATGATTTTGGCAGGACAAAGGATTGGCTTAGTTATTTGGTGGGGCCAGTGGTCCTCCGCCAGTGGCTGTGGATTGTCTAGCCTGTTCTTTTCCTCTTCCGGTATCAACGTGCCACGATCAAGTCGCTTTGCTTTGTCTCTATCACAAAACTATGTCATCTCATATTTTATCGGTTGAGACAATCCCGTATCAAAAGCAAAACGCCCCATGTTTCATGACCCTGGCTTTTAACGTCCGTTTGTATGAATGGACACGAATCAAGGACGCTTGTGACTCTCGCCTGGGAGCACTAAGCATGCGGCAGTCGCAATGCCATGTTTAACTCGTCATTTCCCCCTCGCTGTGGGAGATATTTCAGGAGCAAGGACGTTATCCGGGAACATTTTATTTTTGGGAAGAAGCCGGGGCCACTGCACCCAGTGTATCCATCGTTCTGCTTATTAATATAACGGCACTGGACAGAAAATGGTGTTTCCGTCGACTATACCATGTTTTCTTCCGAGAGCAAGCGCACCATGCCGCGGCGCCCGGAGGAGTACACTTGCTGCCACCTATCGAGCACTCACGCTACTACTACTTTTCCTAGGGCGCCACCACAAAAGACCATCCAAACGTCCCGGCTCATGCTATGCGTCCGTCCGGGTAACGCTGGTGTACGAAATCAGTGACATCGCAACACAGCGCACGGTGGGACATGAAACAGCACCGTACGCGAGCTATTTTTACGCTCATGTAAGGGCTAAAGAAACCGACTGTAACTGGCAATGCTACACGGCGCGTGGCCAAAAGTCATGCTCAGCGTTTCAAAATTGCGTTGAGGGGTCCTAGTCCTTGCCTTTATGACAATTATAAATGTTTAACTGATGAATGTTTAGGGGCACGGGCGCTCTATTAAGATTACGTGTGCTAGTTGCAGCAGGGAATTCAACAGCATTGCTGTGCTGGAGGCGGTTTTTTATCCACCGCAAAACAGGATGTACCTACACTTCTGATATATATATATATATATATATATATATATATATATATATATATATATATATATGCCTACCTGCATCATGCATATACTGGCTGCAAACAAATGCTACATGCTGTATATCGAGGGTGACGCGGTCAGAATAAACATGCTGTTTTCGCACATTTAGAGCTGTAAACAGAAGATAACGGGCCAGGGAACACATCCGTGCCTGGCATTACACCCAAGTTCCGTTACACTGCTGGGAAGTATGGCACATAAAGCCTTGATATGTAACCGCATGGGTTGGCATTACAAACCACCGGCCTGCACGGAACATCTTCATTCTACCACCCGCCCCAGGCTGACAAACTGAAGCTGATTATTCATTAACAATAAAATATAAATGCTGAATTTGCTTAATTCTGAGCACACACCACCAAAACAGGTAGCTGGGAAGTGAGCAAATAAGTTTCACGTCGGCGAAGTGCTACTGGCCTCGAGCCCATATCATGCGCACGCCACAACAAACGTTAATCATTAAGTGCGTGACAGCAGCCGCTGAACATATAAGAGCCATGCATTCAACGCGATCGTCACATATTTGCAGTTGGTCTCGTGGCCCGGAAAGTCTTGTTAATGGGCTGTTCCGTACGCAGCGATGAGTTCATGAAGTGAATTACCCGCCCAAATTTGCGTTCATCGTACCGCTGAGACACGTAAATCGCAAACTACTTAGTTGCACCGACTCGTCCCTTTCACTAATGGGATGTTGACTTGAGCATTCAACTCTTGGCGAAAACTGACACGCTTCCAGCCCGGAGCCCGCATTCTGCGATCTACAACCGGCGTACACTGTAGTTTTGTTTCTAGGCATCACCCGCAGGAGAGTCACAAGAACCGGTTATCATACAGCACGGGGCCTCGAAGACCGTGATGAATGGGGAGGGCGGATCTCCCGCCCAGTCCGTCATTGGTTATACGCAGATTACCTCCACTGCCAGTTCATCAGCCATCAGGCCGGCGGCGATCGGCGAGACGCTCCAACTACCCCTGGCTGCCGGCGCACATGCTCCAACTACCCCTGGCTGCCGACGCACATGCTCCAACTACCCCTGGCTGCCGACGCAAATGCTCCGTAATGACAGCTATGCAGCCCGCAAAGCCGGCAGCTGTTCATCTGATCACGGGTTATGATCTAGCCGACGGGACGCCATTTCCGCCCCGCACGTAGGGAATGTAGCGCCAGCTTCTTTGATAAGAAGGGAAGCTCCCGTCAGTCAAGTTAGTGTTCCCGCAAATCGGGACAGAACAAGTTACGGTATAACCAGGCAGCAATTAACCATTTACGCAGGATGATGTCTCTGACGACGATATCTTGAAGTACATTTGAATAAACTGGGTAAGATATTGGGTTTGCATCGAGTGAATATAGTTGATTTATTTAATCACCCAAAAAATAATAAACAATCCGCGATAAAAGGGATGATACAGCACTGTGCTGGCTCTGCTAGTACAATATGCTAAAACAGTGGGTAATTCTTCAGTTCCCGTTAAATCGCCCCGGCGGATCCCATGAATAATTCATATTTAGGTGCGACTAACCAGAGGTTAGCGTGTGCTATCTAAGCCCTGACGATAAAGCGACGGACGATTTACCGCAGCTGAAGGCACAATGCACATCGTGTTCGACGTTCAATCGGCAAACACAACAAAGAAGTGTAAACAATGAAGAATGGCCCGTTCCCAGGAGGGAAAACTATCATGTGAGCTTGCTAACGGTAGGCTGCAGCGTGTGGCGCGCAACAGGACAGCGTGGGAGGTCTGACGCCGTACGTGTGCTACGAAGCGCCGACAGCCACGGCGCCATGCCCCCGAAGCACGCCGAGCGCGCCGCTGTTGCAGCGAAGTGCACCCGCCGTTGTCCTGCTCCACTCTCCGGCCGCAGCGGTCGTGCGCCGAACCGCTCCCCTAACTCGCCGCTTAGCACCTGGGCCTCGCAGAAGTCGTGCATCACAGCCCGCGTGCAGCGGACGCCCAGTCCCCCCTCCCCTCCCTCCCTGCGCTCTCCCACCATAGGCCGCGCAAACGCTCGCTGAAACGGCGCACTAACCATAAGATACGACTGAATAGCGTGGGGTCACCGCCAGCCGGCAGGGGGTGAGTTGTAGCGTGAGCGCCTCCTCGGGGCGCCCGGCGGGCTCTTGCCACTGCCATTGGACGGAAGAAGTTCCTGACTGAGGACGGGTGGGGCTACTCGGAGAGGCGCGCGCCTAGAGGGCGGATGAGCCCCATCCTCGGCCATCTGACGAGTGAAGCAGGCGGAGCAGTCGAAGTGCTGGAAAGATCCGCGCCCCTGTCCTCCTGGACAGCCTCTTCTGCCCGAACTGGTATCGGTCGGGCCTCGCTCCGGCAGCCGACACTGTACAGGTCGCTGAGTCAGCGCCGGCTCAGATCCGGGAGGCGGCAATTATCGCTGGGAGGCCACGAGCGGCCGGCCGGGCGAGGACGGGCACCGACAGCCGGGGCGCGACCGCCCGGTGGCGGTGGCCGCTGTCGGCCTGAGGCACAGGACGGAGGGGAACGGGAGACGCGCGGACGCCGGCGGAAACGGAGCTGTCCACTGGAGGCAAGACAGCTACGGGCGGGAGACGCGCGGACGCCGGCGGAAACGGCGCTGTCCGCTGGAGACAGGACAGCTGGGGACGGGAGACACGCTGACGCCGGCGGGGGCAGAACTGTCCGCTGGAGACAGGACAGCTGGGACGAGAGACGCGCGGACGCCGGCGAGGACGGAGCTGTCCACTGGAGACAGGACAGCTGGGACGGGAGACGCGCGCACGCTAGCGCAAACGGTGCTGTCCGCTGGAGACAGGACAGCCGCGGACGGAGGACGCCCGGACGCCGATAAGGGCGGAGCTGTCCGCTGGAGACAGGACAGCTGGGACGGGAGACGTGCATCAGACGCTGGTTAGGCCTGCAAGGTTCACGGCTCAGGTTACGCTGCGTAGGGAAGTATGCAGCCGTAGGGTGACGGACTTTACTTAGAAGACATATTCAGATGGGCCCATTCCTTACATTCATCGCATCTTCAGACACATCAAAACCAGCTCCGGAGACACGCCCAAATGCCAGCACGAGCATAGCCGGCGGAAGTCGTGCGGACTCGGTTGCGCTCCCACCAGCGCGGCCCCCAGGGTCACGGCCGGCCTCTCGTCCTTCCCTCCATCAGGGCTGACAGCGGGCCGGCTGTTTGTCGGCTGCGCGCCTCCACGCGCCGTACACGGACCTCACGGCCCCCGGCAGCCATCACCGCCCTCACGGCCGTCCGCACGTCCCCAGCTCACGTCACAGCGATGCCTCACGGTGGCGGCCGCTGCGCGGCGCTGTAGCGTCGCTGCGTGACGGCTCCGCGGCGCCCATCGCTCTGGCTATTGTCCTTTGGCGCGGCACAACAGCGTCCGTGGTCAGCGCGGCGCCGGCCATCCGTTTGGCGGCGGCCGCGGTGGCGCGCCGTGCTGCCCGTCACGGCACGCGCTGCAGCCTCCGCCGCCGTCGCCGCCGCCGTAATTGGCGGCACCTCGGGGCTAAACGGGCTCGGCCCACACCCGCGCGCCCGGCCACTCCAGGGTCGTTCACCGCCGTCAAACGCCTCGGAGCCGCTCGGCGGCGCGAGACGAGAGACGCGCCGGCGGCTGAGCGACACGCACTCGGTCGGCCGGGGTCAGCCGGAGCCGGAGCTGGAGCCGGAGCAGCAGCGCCGCCTGCCGCCCTCCGCTCCGGCCAGGACGGCCATCCTCTCGGCCGGCCAGCCCCGGAAGCCATCTGAATCACCGGTACCTGAGCGGCGATGGCGGCGAGGATTTACGGCGGGGGAGTATTTACGACCGCCGCGGACAGGCGTGGCACAGGCAGGCGCGGCGACTGGCCGCGCGCACGCAGGCGCGAGGACAGCTTCAGCGAGAGCAAGGTTACGTCCCCTGTGCGGTGCCTGAACTGAACACCGATTGGTGAACCTGTGGTCAACCGTGGGACCGAGGTGAAACCAGGCCAGAGCGAGGCCATTAGACTGGTGTCAATGCAGACTTTGGTGGCTGGGCTGTAACAGCTCGTATCGGACAGACGAATAACGTCGCAGCTATGCAGATAACGTTGTATATGAACGGACAACGCTACAGATACGTCCGTTGCGTGCCTGGATGCCGTTGCAGAGTCTACGTGGAGGACGATGATCTACCTGACGGCAGGATTGTCACCATCTAACGGCAGTTCTTCAGGGACAGCATAACGTGGTCCCGTGTCCGAGGCCGGCCTCACGCCCACGTCTGGCCGGGGAAGGCGGCGACACCCTCGTCCGGCCTCTGCCTGTCACAGTGACCGGCCCAGCTCTGGCACCGGCTCCCCGACTCTCCTTGCAGCACTGTCGGCCAAGGCTGGCCGTGCCACAGATCATCGTTCGGCCTGACGCCGCCTATAGCGGCTCTGCACGCGGCTGACGCGTCCCAGGGCGGCGTGACAAACGACACGGCACGGGTCGGCGTCGCCGGCGGTGGACGGCGCGGCGCCCGCGCCCACGAGCGCACCTGCGAGGGGCGCGCGAGCGGCGCGGAGCATCCCCGGTGCTGACGTCAAGACTGCCCGCCGACACGGCCGCCGCCGCCGCGCCGTGGTGCGACCGCGCTTTGCATAGCATCGATAGTGCGGCGTCTGGCGCGGCGGCGCCGGCGGCAGCCGTGCTGGACAGGGGACCGGCTTGCTCCGGCCCGCCGCGTCAGCCAGACGGTCCGCTGCGGCTGCCCCGGGCGCCGCCGACGCCGTCCGGCGTGGCCTCGCATAGACTAACGCCATGCAACGATGCCGGCACCGATTGCGTGGCCTTGGAAGCCCAGCACATGATCTGTGAGCGATGCGCTGTCGCTGAATGCGTCAGCGTCGTCACATAACTCGTCGGAGAGGTGGTAGTTACATGTGCGAAACCGAGGTCGTCCGCAGTGACATGGAACAATCGAGCGTGGCTAAGGAATTACGCCCCCAAGGCAATCACGTGACAGCGGTGTAGAGATTACAATTAGATACCGCAAATGTAAATAGACGTGGGGATATCACGGGAGAATTAATGGCCGAGGGCACGCAAACACATGAGACCGTTTTAATGGGATTCGTTTACGGCGTCTAATCGCCCGCTACCGCAGTGCTCATTACGGAGTCTTTCATACGTACGGTGCTTTTTGTCACGAACACCAGCGCAGATGTGAGCGCAACTCACGGAGACCTGGCTTGCAGAGCCGCCATTTGAAAACACTAGGGTGCTTTTGCTTATTCGTGTTATGTCAGAGGATTAAGTGTGAATGAATAGTGCATGTTATCTAACAGACTTACATTTTTATGGATTGATGACGCTAAGGTCTGTAATTTAAAAAAGCATATTGAGCGGTAGACCATAATTCAGGAAATACTGAGACACGTGAATTGAAGTGAGCTCTCCGCAAAACACGTCTCAATATGCATTCGACAAAGTACTGTTCTCATTATCAGATAGCAGGTCTGAGCTATGACATCAGCACTGGATTGACACCTACCAAAACGTGAACCTAGTTCCGTTTCCCATGACCATGAACATGCACCCACCCGAAACCTTGAGCAAAACCCAACGCGACCGGCCACCAGGGCTGTCTGAAGTCGCAGTCACGCGATTTATGACTCCAGCAGCACCTCTGCCCCGACGAATTCCAGCGTGGAGCCCAAAGCCTACAGCCCCGACCTCAGTCGATCTGCTGGTCGCAGTCTCGTACCCTCGCCGATCTGTTGATCACGGTCCATTCACCCCCGCCGTGTCTGCTGGCCGCGGTCCCGTCGCCCCAGCCGTGTCTGCTGGCCGTGGTCCCGTCACCCCGGCCGTGTCTGCTGGCCGAGGTCCCGTCAGCCCAGCAGTGTCTGCATCCACTAGCCGACTCGCCAGGTACAGCGCGTAACTCCCCACCTGGCGTACCCGCTGCGCCTCCCAGTGAGGGTCTCCCTCCCACAGTGATCCGTCGTGACCTACCTTGTTGATGAGCATGGCGCTGACAGAGCAGACAGGCTGAATGCCGGTGAAGAGCTGGCGGTGCTGCTCAGGGCTGATGGAGCTGAGCTTGCGCAGCGGCGTGCCGTAGATCTGCTCGACAGCCTTGACCGAGGTCAGGTAGCGCCGCTCGGCCGCCAGCAGCGCCTCGGTCAGCCGGTACCGCGCGTCACCGGCTGAAACAGGACGGCCAGGCACCGGTCACCGGGTGCTACGCACCGCTCTCTGACGCGAGCGGCGCCTCAGTCGGACGATGCAGCGCGTCACCGGCTGAAACGGACGCGGCTGCTCAATGTGCACCATGTAAGGCGTCAAATGGCTAGATCAATGCAAGGAACAAGTCAAGCGACACCGGCTACCATAGATGTTTTACAACGGAAGGCATGTCGTATATCTTCGACTATTTCAACGACCGTTACATGGATAGCTACGTTTATTTCTACAGTCCGGTCCGTCAAAGAAATGTAGTGGAATAAATCAATGTCACACTGTTGATGCGCCTGACCCAAATCATCGTCGCACCGTGGTAATTCGAAAACTTACGGTCCGGTAGTAAGTAGCACTCATTCTGTTTTTTATCGCTTTTGATTATCATAGAGGTTCACCCGCTCGCCAACACTTTCACCGAAATTCATCAGCAACAGCAGACAAACTCAATCAAGCAGCTTTCGAACGTGAAGGAATTTCGCCGGAAAAATGCCGCCTGCCTCAATAGCACGCGCGCACGCCATTGTCTTGGGTTCCGATGCGTCATCTGAACAGATGGCGCGTCAGGTTCACTTTATGTCGGGCCCATCACCGCGCCGCCAACCGGAGCGGCCATAAAGCCTGCGCCGGCGGAGTAATCACGCCTGCATCGCAGCGAAAGCCTCCGCGGTCCGATCAAACCCGCCCGCGTGGGATGAGATAATAGATATCCCGCGGTCATGACCATGTAACAGGACGCCCATCAACCGGCTGCCTCCGCCGCATTAGCAAACCACCGCTAACTGGCTCGACCCGGTCGACACGAGCGCACCACGCTGGGGCGGCGTCCCATAAGGAACCGAAACGCGGAATGTACGGCATCCGGCGATGATTGGTCTCGCCGAAGCAACGTGTGCTTCCGATCTCGGCCTGAATGGTCGACTGATGGTGATTGATGGGTCCGGACACGTCAGTGAGCGAATTGCTCCGGCCTTCTGAGCAGGCACCGGGAGGAAAGTGAAAGTGCGCGGCGCCAAGTGGGGCCAGTTACGCCTCCGCACCATGACAGGTCAGATCGGGGCGGACGCGCGGACACACGGCACGCCGCTCAGGTCGGCGCACCGGCCGCGGACCACGAGCGCCGCCTCGGCGAGCTCGTGCGGTATCACGCCGCCTCTGGTCCGAGCGCCGCCACCGCCTGGTCGTCAGCGCTCACGACGACGTGGCGGTTTGTCATCACCGTCATCTTGGTCTGCGCGACGGGCAGGGGGCTACACGCGGCGCCACCAGCAGGAACGGGAGCTGGGGGCCGAGGACGAGCGCACCTGTTTCCCAGCCCTAGAAATGAGCGGCGACGCAGGGCTCGCCAGGAGTGCGGGTCATCGCCAGGTCACAAACAGACCATCACAGGTCACCACCAGATCATCACAGGTCACCACCAGACCATCCCAGGTCACCACTAGACCATCCCAGGTCACCACCAGACCATCCCAGGTCACCACTAGACCATCCCAGGTCACCGCCAGACCATCACAGGCCACCACCAGGTCATCGCCAGGTCACCACCAGACCATCCCAGGTCACCACCGGACCATCACAGGTCACCACCAGACCACCCCAGGTCACCACTAGACCATCCCAGGTCACCACCAGACCATCCCAGGTCACCACTAGACCATGAGAGGTCACCACCAGGTCATCGCCAGGTCACCACCAGGTCATCGCCAGGTCACCGTCTGGCCACCGTCAGGCCAGTGCTGGGTCTCCGGTCGTGCGGCTCCCAGGCCCGGTGGCTTGGTCTTGTTATCGGCCCGACGAGCGCGGCATGCGGATTGTTTACCAACGGTAATAGGCAGACGTCCGACTAATAAAGCAGTGGTGAGGCTGGCGGCGGCGGCGGGGCGGGCCGACCGAGCGGGACTCGAAATTGGCCGCCGACGGGCTGACAGGCCGGCATCCACACAGGGTCACCGCCACAGCCGCCGACTGCCCGCACACGGCAGAGGGACTGGAGAGATCGAATACGATCTTTTTGCCTTTTGCCTCTCTTCTTTTTCTTCAGTTGCGCCGCAAGTCACCGCGCACATTGGTGTGGAGTGTCAGCGACTGCAGAGACCGCATTAGCGCTCAATGACGCCATGACGCAACTGAGGGCTCGAACCCGGCTCAGCACGTGGAAGCTGAAGGCGCCAACCACTCAGCCACCACGCCCCGTACGCCATCTTCTCAAGATGAGTAAACGAGGCGCTGAGGGTGGCTTCACCTAGTAACAGTGTCCTACGCCGCGGTATTGGGCAAAATTAAACACACATTTGCTCGCAGCTCCGCTTGACCGCAAAATCTGCGTGCCCGGCCTCCACTGCTGCCTCGTCCCCATGACCCGTTTAGCATCGGCACACGGGCCGGGCGGCCCATGGCGGTGGATCGGGCGCCATTTAGCCGCTCACGTGGTACGAGACCCGATCGATCGCGGCGTCACCTGTTTACGTTAACGGTTCCGCGACGGCCCGGCTGACAATGCGCTGCGAGGCGGGAGGGAGCGGGGCGCCGCCGGCCGCCCGTGGGAGAGGCCGTCCGTTAGGGTCACGCCGACCGACCCCGTCCCGTGCGCCGTGTCACCGCCGCTACGACGGCTGATTGGCGGGTGAGAGGCTCGGCGGCGGATCTCCCCGAGCGGCGCTGACAGGCGGATCTCACCGGGAGAGACTGGTGGGCGCCGAGAGAGGTAACCAACGGAATATCCAGGCTTGGTGGATGACGGACGGATCCCGGTCTGTGGCGCTGGCTAGTCAGCGCTAGGTAGTGAGCGCCGGTTAGTGAACGCTGATCGGTATGCGCTGGTTAATAAGCGCTGGTTAGTAAACAGTGGTTGTGAGCGATGGCTAGTGAGTGCCGGTAAGTGAACGCTGATCAGTATGCGCTGGTTAGTGAACAGTGGTTGTGAGCGCTGGCTAGTGAGCGCCGGTTAGTGAACGCTGATCAGTATGCGCTGGTTAGTGAACACTGGTTAGTAAGCGCTGGTTAGTAAACAGTAGTCGTGAGCGCTGGTTAGTGACCACCGATAAAAGTGAACTAATTTGTGCGTGTTTGCTAGCGTCGGTGACGGAACCTGATGCAGCGCTTCCTGAGGCTGTTGCCCTCATCAAATAATGTCTGGGAATCCATTCATTCATACATTTACTTCGTATGACCTGCACTTGATATGGCTTTCCGGGTCAGGTGGCAATGTACAGCTCGCATGATATGCGCGCGGTGCACAAGAAAGACCGACGACTAAAAGAAAAGTTCCGTCGTTACGTCTAAGCTGCGTAATTTCACAACGCGCTCCAGCAGCCTCCCCCAGCACACAAAACATTGATGTGCTTTCCTGGCTGCTGCAGGCACTTCATTCCATTTGTCAGTGGCTCGACCGCAAAAAGACCGCCTGCTTCGCCCCGCCCCGATGTCAGATAGCTGGAGTGATCCCGCTAACGGTGTCAGATCGGCTGTCAAGTACATTTGTCAGCTGTCTGTGTGTGAACTGTTCATGGACAGAGGTAGGTTCGGGAACCAGAGGCACTACATTATGTAATGCAGCGTGCCGAAGCTGATCTAAGGTGGGTCATTTCAGACCTTTTGGCGTCATATGACCAGATGGACGGGAGAGTTACACTATTGGTCTTTTTTGGTCCTTGGTCCTTTTTGAGTTCACTTACGCCGCTTTGCTGTACACCGGGCCCATACAGTCATACAGCGCAACTTGGGGGGGAAAACCAAAGCTCGTACCATGATAGTCGAGGATGTATCCGGTCCTGGGATCGGCACATCGACAGATGTGATTGTTTGTTCGCTTGCAGATCCTGGCTGTTTCCTAGAAGCATCTTATCCAGCCACGTAGTAAACCAGACAAGGTTTTGTTGGCAACTTACGTGATCATCGACATAATTTTCCCTCTTTATTTTCATAGCTAAGAATCAATGCTAACAGTCCATTTAAAAAGCGGAAAACCCCAGGCAGTTCATAATCGAATGACGTTTCCGATAGCCCAATTCCCTTTAGATTAGACTGCTGCCAAAGGTTTCAGCCTTCCAGCGCAAGAAGCGAGTAGAAAAGAAAAATCATCACATAAAGAGCGCGCTCTTAACAAGTAGATGGGTAGACGCAGGCCAAGGATGTGAGAGTAATACCCCAAAGATGCATATCAGCTGAGTGGTTCAAATGCAAATATGGACCCCATTCATCCCCGAGCAAGAAATCCCTTCGACACTACACAAAAGATGCTTCGGTACCGAGACAACGGGATGAAGGTCTGTAAAGATTAATAGATGTTTGATAAAAGTATCATTCATTTGTGTTATCTCATCCACAGAAAACCATTTGTGAGCATCTGAAGAGGCTAATAAGATAGCCTGTCATGAACCGTTTGCAAAACACATCACTCATCGTCTGCAAAGAAATCAGCAAGAATGCTCTTGGGGTGCAGTTGTGCAATGTGGTTGCATAGCGTGTCATTATCATTGTGACTAAATACGCGTTGGGCAGTCAGTTTGGTGTTTTGACAGAGGTCTGGCCCCTCGAGGCACAATCTGTTAGACGTTCTCAGAACAAACGGCTACAACGTTTTCTGGCGATCCGCGATCCTCGGGAAGTTTTCGGTTTCACTTTTGATGTCATCAAGACGTGGTCTTAACCGCGACACCGCACAGGATAGACACCCGGCTAAGTGCATTATTACACGTGACATCACTGATAGAGATCTAACGGCTTAGTGGAGAGATCCGGAATTCCACAAAATCTCAGCTGCAAAGTACTCCTGCATAAAGACAGCTGGATGCGCACCGAACTCTGTAGCATAGTCATTCAACATGTGTGGCAGTAGAAATCATGATACACCTACGTTAAATCTCACAATCTACTGCTCTCACTTCTGATCCGCTTAAGAACGCTTCCGTGAGCCATCCTCTGGACTATACCCTTGGCACGCTGGCTGCGCTCTTTCCAGACGTCCGGG